CTCCTACCCAAGTTATGAGAAATAATGAAATGGATGACATCATAGAAGATGAGGATGAAGGAATTATGGATGAACTTTCATCGAATGATGATGAAGGTGGTCTTGAACTATCAGAGTAAATGAGGTAAAGTAAGTAGGTTTGTCAATTTACTATGTTGCCATGATTATTTAATTTGAGTTATCACCAATATTATTCATATTTTAAACAAATTATAGTATTTGTCTCTAAACATATATATGGTTTGATTCAGATATGGCAGGTAAATGTAAGAAGGGTGTTACTCAGCAAACTGATCGTGGCAACACTTCTTCACCTACCGCTCTGACTTCGACGTCCACACCAGCAATAGTGCAGACCTCCCAGGTTAGGGGACAGAAGCAATTTATCATGGTGCCTAATCCTGAGTATATTGCTCCTCCCCCTCCAGTACAGCGAGTTTCACACTCTGCACCCCCTAGTACACAGGTCACACAGTCTACACAGGGCACAGGAGATGGATCCACTGCTGTCCTATCTGTAAGCAGGCAGCAGTCATCACAGACCCAGGCATCATCGAGATCGTTAGAAACTTTGAGATGGGATGGGTCCACTTGGTAAGTAATTCAATCAAATATGACTAACATTGCGTATTTTATGTGAATGTTAGTAGTTATGTTTTATTTTATTGTGTTATCAGTTGGATACCACAACAGAAAGGTCTCCATCAGGTCACAGATACGATTAAGAAGATGTTTGATGCGCCTTACAGAAGTTTTGCAAAGGTGCCAAATGATACAAAGATGGAATGGTTCAAAGATTGGAAGGTAATAATAGTGTATTAATTTTAACTAAGTGTAATTACTTATGACTGTTTTTACCTCTTCTAATGAAATTTTATTTCTGTAGAGCAACTTCTCCATTCCCCCCCTGGACGAAAAGATGATTTTCAAGGCCTAGAAGAGTCGCACTGCAAAGCGACTAAGACAGATGTACACTGAGGCTCGCCAGGACCCTTCTACTACTGATTGGATAGCACCCAACTTTCTTCATGCCTTGCAGGAGTATTGGGGTACAGATGAGTTTAAAAATCTCTCTGTAAATAACAAGACAAACAGGGCATCTAATAAAGGGGGGTCACTGCATACTGGTGGGTCTACGACTTTGGCTGGCACTAAGGCGAACTTGGTATGTGTGATTTTAAAATTCAGTTTACTCTATCTATAATTTCATATTTGAGATTGTGATTTATTTCCAATTGCAGGAGAAGTCGTTGAAGAGGCCACCTACTACTGGAGAGTTGTTTAAGGAGACACACACTCGCAGGCAGGACAAAAACCTGTGGGTTGATACACAATCTCAGACCACATATGTAAGTTATAGTTATTGATAATATATGTTATTATTAGCGACTTATTAAATAGTTCTCCAAACTAATATCTAATTATCTGAATTGAACTATAGGATGACTATATTCAAAGGCTTGAGGAAGCATCTTCTCATAATCCAGAGTCAGTAGATGAGGATGCTATGTGGTCATAGACAGTGGGTGGCCTTTATAAAGGTCGCATTTATGGCATGGGGGGCCACTTTGCAGACTCCATGTCCCCTGCATCTGTCACTGGAGATGCCCCTTCTCTTGCACCTGAGGATGTGGAGGACATGGTCTGCACTCAGGTCCATGCCCTCAATGAAGAACTCCAGAAGCAGAATGAGGAGATGTGGAAGAGCAAAGAAAGTGCATGGAAGAAGAAGTGGGCAAAGAAAATGGAGAAGAAGATAGAGAAGAATGTGGCGTCGAGAATGCAAAGGGAGGTCCAGCAGCAGATGACGCAACAACATATGCAAATGCAGCAGATGCATGCTTATTTTGAGCTCATGAGAGCAAGCAGCTCAACACCTCTTCCTCCTCCTCCACCAGCTCCAGCACCACCGGTTTTCACCTCCATGCATCATTTCTCGACTGACTCCTCTTCTACTGATGATGATGCTCCTTCGGATTATGACCATACAGATTATTCCTGATGAAGACTTGTATTTTATTTTTAAATGTATTTATTTAGATGCTTTTTTGTCTTCCTTTGTAATAACATTTAAATTTTATATTTTATAAATCATTTTGGAATGTTTAGATGCCGAATCTATAGTTTCTATTTTGTTTATAAATTGTGATAATCAAGAACAACAGGAAATAACTATCTATATAAACAAAAAAATATCAATAATAGTAAATATATCACCGACGGATTACAGACGGATTTTCCCGTCTGTAAATCTTTACCGACGAGGATATTATAGACGGTTTATGTCCATCTGTAAATTCGTCTGTATGGAAAAAACCGTTTGTAATGCTCTAAAAATATGTCTGTAAATCTGTCTGTATAAACAGACTTTTTAGTAGTGAGTTTTTCTAGAAAAAGAGAGTGAGAGGAAAATGTAAGTCATTCTTTTTTGGTGAGCACTATTCAAAAATTTTGAATAACAACAAGAAATAACTCAAATCAAGTATTCTTTCATAAGTAATAATTATTCAAAACTCTCCATGTCATAAAGAGAGTTAATTATTTGATTCTCTCATTTGATTTGATTTTTATTTTAAATTCCTATTTTCTTGCAACATGCAGGGGAAAATAATTGCACCATCTAAGGATGCATGGGTTAGGGATAACTCAAGTTGGATTGTGATCTCAAATGTAAACGGTTTAACAATTGATGCCAAGAGAGGAATGATCAATGGCTATGGTTCTACTTGGTAGCAATGCAGAAGTTGTAAATGACCCACAGTGTGATGATTCCAAACTTTGTTCTCCCACAATTACTTTGGTATTGAAAATGCATGATCATGAACGATTATGGAGAATGATCAACAACAGTTGAAAAGAAGCACATACAGAAGAAGGCAATTACCAAAAAGTGCTCGCGATAAAAAGAGAGAAGTTGAGATATACCACCTATAAATATTACAGAGCTTCATATTCTAAGAAACGACTTTTTGCACTATACACCTATGTCCAAACTCACTGCACACTGAAATTATGCACTGAGCTAGACATCAGCAACTAAGAGACTCGCAATGTGTTCGTTGTTGCTAGGAGTTGTATGATATTTTTTTGCAAATTTACATTCCAGTTTGTTTATTTCTAGTCCATTTTATATTTTCTGTTCCTGCATTTTAGTTCTTATACAATACGTTTCTATAAACTTCTACGTTTAGTTCAGTTCTACGCAATTACTATCTACTATTCCTGCTTAATTATTTGCTTTACGACGTTAAATTGGTCATTACGTTTAATAATATACTTAAAAGAACCTAAAGAAGACCGAAAATTTAGTTTTAGATTGCGTTTGAATTTATTTATTTACATTCTGCGAATTTTCACTGCAAAAAGATGTATATTTATATGGTAATCATAATCATAGATATGAAATTAAGAATAAATATACGCTTACTTAATTACTATAATTACATAAGATAACTTATATATATAACAAAGGACAAAAGATCTATGAACATGACTATAGATAAAACACCGCACTTGCGTACATGTTGAAAAAAGTTTGAAATTCTTTGTTTTCAGCTTTGACATGCATTTCTTCTCTTCAGCATGGAGAAATAGATTCGTTATAAAAGTACTTAATCCTGTAATTTTTTTTTTTCTTAATCACATTTTGATTGTAAATTTTATTACCTTACAAACACATTTTTTAATATTATTAACTTTGAAAAAAATTTAAAATCTAATAAATCAAAACTAATTCTTAAACCTAACCATCTCCACTAGTATAAACCCTGATAAGAATTTTTTATATTAACCAAAAACTGGGAAGGCCAAGCTTTGACCCACATTAGACAACTAGGTTGAAGGTGCTGAATAGGATATGTGGATATGTGTGAAGTTATGAGTAGATTATACAGTAGATTGATCCTTAATTCTGCTTTAATTTTTATACATGCTAGTGTAAATTTTTAATATTATTAATTAATTAGAAATTATCAATATAACTTAATAACATGCTGTAAAAGTAGGTATCTATAAAACAATCAAGCGTAGAAACTCAATATGTTAGAAGTCAACTTGAAAACTCTCATTCAGTATGCTTACAAGAAAGAAAAAGATTTTCTAAAACTTAAAACTGTTAGCTTTGAATCTAGTGAATATTAGTTTTGGTAAAAGTAGATACAAAATTGTGATAGTAATGATTATAAGAGAATTTATTGTCATGTATAAGAATTATTGATGTGCTGAATACAGCCATATCAAAATCTCGTACACATACACGTGTAATTAAAATTAAGTAACTATTTAGCTCATACATATGCATATAATATAAAGCTCCTATTCTATTATGCAAAACATAAACACCAACTTCCTCCTAATTTTGCTTTCTAGAATGTATGTTGTTACACCCATATATTTATTGCCACTTCAATTTTGGAAGAATTATATTAAATACTTTCACTATTAGTGTAGTTATAAGAGAGATAAATATATATATATATATATATATATATATATATATATATATATATTAGATAAAAATTACTTAAAAAAGTGTGGTAATAGATATATACTGTAGCAATTTACATATATATATTTTTTAATAAAGTAAATGATATATGATTATACGAAGTAAGAGAAAAATTAAGACATTAACAATAGGTATCACAAAATAAAGGTATTCAAAAGTGACGCACCTAACTCTTATAAAATCAATTTCATGTGTTCGCTTGCATTGTCCACAGACAAATCAGGTATTAGAAACACAAGAATGATACAAGTAATGAAAAAATTAATATATTAAAATTAACAGTAATAAATTATAAAAATTCATTATCAACAAGCATCTCAATCAATTTGAAAAAAGTTAATTTAACTTAATATATAATCTCAAAATTATAGACGTTGTTTAAATTTTTTAACTACATTAAATAATTATAAAATGATGACTAAAAGATGAGGCATTAGCTGTCAATATGAGTTATAATAATGCACATAACTTTTTAACTCGACGACGACTCCGCAGCAAAGAAAAGCAGATCGAAGATAAGAGCAAGCATTGACCATTAAGACTTAGAAAAGATGATTTGAGCGAGATAGCTAATTACAAAAGTGTCCCCGTGATGGGGAGATATAAGAGCACTAATGTTTACGCTGCAGCCATTGCGAATCTCAAACTGAACACAGTGAAATCTCTTCTCTTCATCAGATCTAAGGAATATGGAAAACGTTCCATTTGCTGTTGCGTCTAATCTCATTCACAGGTTCCTTTTTCCACCCTTTCTTCTATTTCAACAATAACTATCCATTTTCTAATTCTTCCATAACATGCTTAGCTTACAGTTTATTTTTTTTTTCCTATTTTCTTAGTTCCCTTATTTTTATGTCTAACAATTTAATATAGTGTGTCATGATAAAAAGAATTTAAAATTTACTTTAAAATTCATTAAATTTAAAAAATAATATTTAAACTTAATGAAAAGATAAATATAACAAAATTAATATAAAAGAAGCTAAACAAGTAAATATAAAAAAATTTCAAAGTACTCTTCTGTTCGAGAATGAACACATACTGGTGGACACAAGAGAATTCATATGATACGGAGTTACAATAAATTACTTTCTATAGTAATTTTTATGAGATCAACATTAATAAAAAATAATTATGTGTTATAAAATAATGTTAAGTTGGAAAAAAAAATGTTCCTGGAATTATATACGTACGTCCTATTCTATTAGGGGATTACATTAATAATAATATTTTAATAAAATATCTTAAACAAGGAAGTTTTGGAGTGATAATTGATCTAAATAAAATATCTTGTACTGTAATTATAAAAAATAAATATCTACTTTTAGATGTGTCGTGCATATGGAAATTATGAATTGTAAGGATTTGTAACTGAGCCGGCCATGAACAAATCATGATTCAATCAATTGAATTTGTAGATTATTATTACATATTTTCCCTTCTCCTCTATTCTTATGCCAATATTTTTAGACACTGCTCAACTTTCTCTCAACAAAGCACCCTTCTATGTAGTCCTTCTTAATCATTTTAACTATGGCTGATTCAGTTTCATTTGCTGTTACTTCAAATCTCAGGTTGGCTTCCGCAGATTTTCTTGAATTTGGAAAGCAATATGATGTGACAGAAGAGTTGGAAGATCTTAAGAACACTATTGAATCCATCAATGCTAAGCTCCTTGATGCAGATGATAAACAAGATCAAGATGATGGTGTGCGAGTTTGGATCAGAAGGTTCAAAAAAGTACTCCATGCTGCAGATGACTCCATAGATGAGCTTGCTATCCAATTCAGGAGAGACAAATTGGGTGCAGCAGAAGGAAAAGAAGTAGACAAGGTACTTCTTTCCATTTCATCTTCCAATCAAATTCCTTTATACAGTGAAATGCCTGACAAAATTAAAGAAATACGAGAATGTTTGAACGATGTAGTAAAAGAAATGAAGGATTTGAATTTAAGTCCAAGATCAGGGGTGGTTAAGCAAACTAACAGTGAATGGAGGGAAACATGTTCTTTTGTGCTAGAATCTGATATCATTGGAAGAGATGATAGTAAAAAGGAGATTATTAGTCTGTTGAGACAGCCTCATGAAAACCGAAAAGTTTCTGTGATTGCTATTGTTGGCCTCGGTGGCTTGGGGAAGACAACGCTTGCTCAGTTGGTGTATAATGACTTTGAAGTGCAGAATTTTTTTGAAATGCAAATGTGGGTGTGTGTCTCTGATAACTTTGATGTGAAAACTATTCTGAAGAAAATATTAGAATCAATTACGGGTGACCAAATGGAAGAAAAGTTATCATTAGGCAATTTGCAAAGAAAACTTCATGAAAAAATAAGTGGTAAGAAATATTTGTTGGTCCTGGATGACATTTGGAATGAGAAACGTGACAAATGGACTGAATTGAGAAAGTTCTTGATGTGTGGCGCTCAAGATAGTAAGATTTTAGTGACAACTCGAAGTGAAAATGTAGCAAAGGCAATGACTGCCAACACTTCCTATCCTTTGAAAGGTTTGACTGATGAAGCATCTTGGAGTTTGTTGAAGAACATTGCATTTGAGGATGATTTCAAAGGAGTGAATCAAAATCTAGAATCAATGGGGAAAGAAATAGCCAAAAAATGTAAAGGGGTTCCACTGGCAGTTAAAACCCTGGGAGGCCTGTTAGGAGGACAAAACGAAGAAAGTGTATGGGAGAATGTTTTACGTGGTGACTTCTGGAAATCATGTGAAGAGCAAGATAGTATCATGCCAATTCTAAAACTCAGTTACCGCAACTTGTCGCCAGAAATGAGACAATGTTTTGCTTATTGCTCTTTGTACCCCAAGGATTCAAAAATTCGAAAAGATGAGTTGATTCAGTTATGGATGGCACAGGGTTACGTTAAATGTTCGACTGAAGAGCACATGGAGGATGTTGGTAATCAATTTGTAAAGATGTTTCTGATGAACTCATTTTTTCAAGATGCAGAAAATGATGAATACCATGAGATCATTAGTTTCAAAATGCATGATTTAATGCATGATCTTGCGATGCTTGTTGCGGGCAATGATTATTGTTACTTGGATAGTAAGGCAGAAAAAGTTGAAGGTAGACCCATGCACGTATCATTGGAATCTGATGAGGCCATTCATTTGTTGAAATCATTAGATCCGAGCAGGCTGCGAACTTTGATTTTCCCGGATGACTTGGAAGAGGAGGAAGATTTGTCGGTTATTGCAGAGTTCAAATACTTACGTGTCTTGAGGATGGATCAAATCTCTGATTCCACTGAACATTTGAAGCATTTAAGGTACCTTGATTTAACGCAACAAACAAGTCTTCCCAAATCCATGAGCAATCTTGTTTTCCTACAAACATTAAAATTAAAGAAGTGCGACGAAGAATCATTTTCAGAAGTAGTCACAAAATTAGTCAATTTGAGGTGCCTTGATATTGCTTATTATCACTCCATGATGAGTGGGATACCAGTTGGGTTGGGAAAATTATGCTCATTGCAATTCTTATCGACATTTGTTGTGGGAGACAGCCAAGAAATAAAATATGGGGCACTAAATGAACTGAAGGACTTAAACCTAATAAGAGGCAAATTAAAAATTAAGTATCTCAATCGTGTGAGAGACGTGGCTCTGGAATCACAGCACGTTAATTTAAAAGAAAAAAAATTCCTTCAATCCTTGACCCTGAGTTGGTTGGATGGTTGGTGGGAAGATTGGTCGCATGGATACCTCCGTAACAGTGACAACTTACAATTATTGGAAAACCTTCAGCCCCACCGCAATCTCAAGCGATTGGAGGTGTTTTATTATCCAGGCGTGCTTTTCCCAAATTGGCTTTCTCTCCTCACAAATGTGGTTCACATTCGTCTCTATGAGCTTCGTAAATGCTGCTATCTCCCACCGTTGGAACATCTCCCTTACTTGAAGTCACTTATGATGCACTCTCTCTATGAATTGGAATACATATATCTCGATGGTTTTGCAGTAACCTTCTTCCCCTCTTTGGAGAGCCTCGAATTAATTACTTGTCCCAAGCTCAGGGGATGGCGGAGGCGGGGAGATGATATCAGTGATTCACATAATCTCTCCTCTTCTCTTTCATTTCCTCATCTTTCTCAACTGTATGTTTTAGTCTGTCCACGGTTGAATTGCATGCCTACTTTTCCAAACGCTAAGGATTTAGGATGGCTTGAATGCAGTGCAGAACCATTAATAGGAACACTGAACACAACAGAGTCAACACGTTCAGCTGACTCATCTTCCTCTGCTGCTCCTCTTTCCATGCTCAAACAATTGGCGATTTCTTATGATATGAATTTACCAAAGGGTTGGATGCAAAATCTGACTTCTCTAGAGTCTCTTCAAATTCAATTTGGTGAAAGTGAAACACTTGAGGAATTTGAAACTGGGTTTAAGGACGGCACCAACTGCCTCCCTTCTCTGCGAAAAATCGCCATAGATCATTGTGGAAGGCTGAAGGGTTTGCCAAATTGGATTTGCAACCTCTCATGGCTTCAGCACATCATGATCTTCTATTGCCCAAAATTGGCATCGCTGCCCGAAGGAATAAGTGGTCTTACCAACTTAAAGATCTTTGAGGTCAGAGGATGTTCCCTCTTACTTAAAGAATGCCGAACAGAGACAAGTGTTGTTAGTCGCCAAATCGCACACATCGCACAGATAATCCTTGATGATTAGTGATGATAAAGGTACTGATCTGATTCTGATGCGTATTTATTTAGTGTAAGTGTAAACGTCGTGTATCGTATTTGCTTTTGCTAATAAAATACTTGTTTAGTGTTCATTTGTGATAAAATACAAATTATCCTAATCATATTAATTTTCAATTGTTAAACAATATGGGAGTCTTTTTTTAAATTGATATTAACCATCATATATTTAATGCTAGTAAGTTTTTTGGCATTATCAAAATTATAATATTTTTAAAAAAAAATTAAAATTATTATATAGTTAATAAAATTTATAAATATTAATATATAAATATTATTTTTTAATAACAATATTCTATTATATCAAATAAGATTAAATCAAAAAGAAATTTTGAAAATAAAAAACTAATTAAAAAATATTTAATATAAAATTTAACTGTAAACGTCGTGTATCGTATTTGCTTTTGCTAATAAAATACTTTTACCTAGTTTTTGAGTAAGTTTTCATTTGTTTCAAACATAAATACAAATTATTCTAATAATATTAATTTTCAATTGTTTTACATAGTCTTAACCGTCATATACTTAATGCCAAATAAGTTTTTTTTTTCTTTGCGCCGATACTATTACAAATATATAATTTTTAAATTAAAATTTAAATATTATATAATTTAATAAATTTTATAAATAAATATTTAATTATATTAAATAAGATTAAATTCAAAATAAATTTTAAAATTAAAAACTAATTAAAAACATGTAATAAAAAATTTAAATTAAGACTAAATTAAAAAAATGCATAAAAAGTCATCTGACATAATAAGAAAGATAACTAATACCTAAAAGCTTTTTCATTTAAAAATTAGGATCTAAATTATAAAGATATTTATGTACGTAGGAAATTGATTATTGATATAAAACAAACATACACTAATTTAGATTCTTTCTACTTTCTAAATGTAAAATATAAATTGATGTTTTGTATAGTTTCAATTTTTGTTTACTTTTTGCAAATTTTTTACACTTTTGTAATTTTTTAAATTGAAGGTAAATTTTTAAATTTTAGTTTTAGTATTTACCCCTGTGAAAATGGAAAGAAGAAGAAAAAGAAATTTTGAATATTGAAGACTTCCTAAAATTTGTTGGATTTTCATAACGTTGGGAACCACTTATAATAGAATAACTTTATTTTTTCTTCTATTTTGATTTCAAATTTCAGTGACTTATTGGTTATAGTTATTTAGTTATTTCATAGTGACTCTCAAGTGTTAAATTATAAATATATTTTCAGGATCTATTATATTTTAATATCATATATTTGAAAAAACAAGAAGTGTACTTACATTACCTAGTAGTTAGCTCTCACTTTAAGTTCTCAAAACAGAAGGTAGAGATCTCATCTTGGACAACATTTAACATTAATATTATGGAAAAAGAATCATCCTATTTAGTATCTATATTTTTATCTTCTACAAGCCTAATAATTTAAGATTTATGATCAAGAAAAGAAATTCTCCTATTATATTATGTAATTTAATATTTATAATCTAGATGTCCTCATCAGTGATTTAGAATGGCACGGAGTTGATACTAATGCATTGTTCAGATAACTGATTTGCAACTTAATAAATGAAATATATAAAAGCAGTCAATTTTATGGTAGTTGTTTGTCGGTGTATATATTCTCTACAAAGAAAGGTAAAAGGAACTTGAAGGTATGTTATGAGTACTTGTATCATAATTAGGAATTTTTAGCTTTAGTTTTGCACCAAACTGTTCTTCAAATCCTTGAATCTAGCCCAATTTACTAAGATTATAATATTTGAGCTGTTGTCGGTACAAGCAAATTTTGCATTGAGTTCATATTGAACGTAGTTCTTTTTATTATTCATTTCAAGACTTATTTGAGTTGGGTAATGTAAGAAGTTATGATAAAAACTACTTTTTGGAAGGTAAAGTTGAAGAAAGTGAATCGGATGCTGCCACCAATGTGCTACTAGGACTCTATAAGAGAAAATATGCAAGTCATTGTTTTTTTCAGTCCTTTTTTTTTTTCTATACTTTCATCCTGCTCTTTTCCACATGAAACCATTTTGGAATTATAACGTAGAGAATGCGTAATGTTACTCGATTTTATATTGAAATTAATATTTTTTATGACTTAAGATAATATGGTTTGTCATTAGCAAAACAACATTTCAAGATTCGCTGTATTAAGGAAAGTTTTGTTACGTTTATCAATTGATTATTTTGTCTACATGTTTAAGTTTTGTTTATCATGTTTTTCGCTGCATAATTTCAAATATATTGGCTAAATAATGCAGAGTGACAAAATTTTTCTTTATGTATTATTATATTTTTTTTTTGCAGTAAGTTGTTAGAAATAGACTAATGATGCAAGTAGAGATACTTGAGTTTATGAGACAACTTCGTTGAATTCTGTCATTGTTGGAGTTAGTTTTGACTATCGTAATGGCCACACCTTTAGCCTAGAGGAAGCTATAAGAACCCAGTTTCTTAAAATTGGTACTGTCCAATGCAAGATGGATTGTGTTCGCCATGTGTTCAGTATGTTTTCTAGTTGCTATCTAAAATGCACTTTAGTATTGATCAATGCTCCTACTTTCTATCACTACGAGTTTTACATCAAATTTGATTCATGATTGTATTTACTATTGACTATATCTATCTAATTCAAATGTTTGTTTTATTATCTTCAAATTCACTTGTAGCTTGTTTATAATCAACATTGAGGATATCTGTCTTGACATGTGTAATTAGTTATTATCAAAATTTGTAATATTTTAATTGCTTGCAATACAATTAATTGGCACACCATCTCTTATTGATACTTGAACAAAAAAGTGATCTAAAAAATAAGGAATGTCTTATTGGAGAAAGAAAAAAAAAGGAAGAGAAAAGAAGATTTTTGTTAAAGGGTAAAGAGGTGTAAACGATAAATAAAAGAAAAAAAAATTAATTAATTTTTTATAAGTATACAGTGTATCAATATTCATTAGGTACACTTAAATACTTTTCAAAATTATTTTAAAAAATAGTTCTATGTAATATAAATACAACTTATGTTGTTAATTATACTTAAATATCAGTTATATTATTTTTTCTAAAAATATAATATTTTTTAATAAATTTATATATTATTTTACTTTTCTTTTAATTTTCTTATTTATTTATTTATTTAATCAAATTTATTTATGAAATATATAATAAAAATTTAACATATACTAATATATATATTATTTAAAATTTGTATTCGCGTACCTTCAATTTTTTAAAATTGTCTTATTCTGTATCTGTATTTATACGAAATATGAGTACTGTACATGTATTCATGCAATATGGACCAGCAGTGTATAAAAATAAAATGTGTATAACTGTACCCAATTTGTTAAAAAAAGATCATGGCCCTTGTTTAAGACTGTTAATGGCCTTGTGTTGTTTACAAACTGTATTCATTGAACTAAGAAAAAAACTTAAGGTTATACTTATGATATTTATACACTTATATATTGAAAAAATCACATCAAATTATTAATTTAATCTTTATTAATTTTAAATTTCTTTTACCGCAAGTCCAATTGTTTAATTGGTTTGAAGATAGAATTTTATTTTTTAAAAAAAAATACACATTCTAATAAAAATATGTAATTTATATTAGTTTATGTATTTATCTTAATTATATTTAATGATTCAAAATTAATTCTATTTGACTTCAAATTAAAAAAAAAATGCTATGTATAAATACAAACTATATCGGATTAAATTAATATTAATTTTAGGGTCAATTTTAATTAAATTTAAAATAATTATATTTTAAAAACTTATTCATTATATATATTTTTTATAATAAGTACTATTTTGAAAATAAAATCCTACTGCTTTTAAATATTTAAAAGTAGTAATATAAGATGATACTGATAAAATCATAATTTAAAATATTCTCTTTATATTCAAAAAGAAGAGTCCAATTGTATATATAGAAAACTAAGTGGATTGTTGAAATGTACCTTTGCAGATTGAAAGAAACACTTTGGCACAATATTAATTAACATATAAGAACTACTAAATGTAGCCAAAGGATTGATATAAGTTGCATGATCAATCATAATATATGTAGTTTCTAATTATTCTCCATATATTGTGACTGAATTTTTTTTATGTGGTTGATGCAGGCCTTACATTTTCATTCTTGTAATAATGTTACTGTAAGGTCTCTGGTTCACATTGCTATAAATGCTTGTTAGGTTGCCATATTCTCTCATATCAATATTCAAGCTTCTAGTAAAAGCTTCAACAGTGATGGATGAACTAATTTTTTCTCTGAAATTGAAACGTTTATACTTTTGTTGAAGTAAAAATAAGATGATTTAAGCAAAAAATATAAAAAATATTTATGACTTTTAGACCTTCTCCTTCAACCTTCTTCTTTTCCTTTCTCTCTCTTTCTCTCTCCCCATCTTTTTTGTTTTTTCAACTCCTTTTCCACTCTACATTCTATACTTAACTCTTCCTCTCCCCACCTCTATACCCATCTCCTCCATCCTTGTACCATTCGCTTTCCCATCCCCAACCCTCTCTTTTCCGAATTCCTAGCACACATCTCTCATTCTTCAATTCTCATGAAAAAACACACTAAATTCGAAGAATAGAACTAGACATCCGGTTATTGTGGTAACGATAGAGAATCCAGATCTATAATTAATATAAGTGTGGCAAGATATTGTTTTTTCCAATCTATTCTGCTAATTTAAATAGAAATATTTTAAAGATTTATTATTTTTATCATCGAGTAACTTTTTTTTTTTTGCAATAAGTCTTTGATTATGTTTGTTGATTTTTATTCTTTCCAATAATTTTTATTTTGATTTTAAATTAAGTTTAATTTATTTATTTTTTATAAAATGTATCAAATTGAAAATATATTTCAAATAAACTAAATTTTGAGAGCATTGGTGTGCTTAATGTCAATGGTAAATTTTGACCTATATTTATATATAAGAATTTTTTTAATTAATTATTAATTTAAAATTAAAAAAATTATTCGTCAATTTAGTATTATTTAATATAATATAATATTTATTATTAATAATAAAAATATTTATTCTTTTTAAAATTATAATTTTTTAAAATACTGCAATAGGCTCTTACTTTTTTATTTACAAGTAATTTAATTTAATAACAGACATACATAAAAATTCAGTCATGTATAAGAAAATATTGGTTTGAATTCTGTAACATTAATTTGAATGTGACTTGAGATAAAACTAAAATAGAAAATGGAACAAATATTTTTAGCTAACTGATATATCGAAAAAGCAAATATTTTTCCTCTACCTCTCACTACTTGAAAGGATTATCTTTCTTATTACACATTATTTTAATTTTAACAGGAAGGATCAAGTTATGTAAGAAGAACAACTTTTAAACACATCACACTAATCGAGATTTACAGCCCAATAATTACAGGGACCAAAATTTTCTCCCGTTGCACACAAAAGGTATTTTCACTTTTGCTTAAGAAAAATGAAAAAAAAAATAACACTAACTGGAGGTGTAGTTTGCACACACAAAAAAATTGAAAAAATACATATGATAGACAGGTGTATACTTAGACTCTACATTAATATTTTATCTTATGATTTAAACTTGATTTTCTGTTTATAACTTATAAAAGTGGGAAATTTTTTTTAATATTGTAATTTTATTAACAATTTATCACTTTATAGATAATCTGAAATAATTTTCCACTCTGAGGTTATTTTGGATTACGTGGCCATAAGTTTCGCCATATCATTTATCAAATATATTTTTTTATTATTATTGTTAACTGAATTTTGTCAAGAGAATTGCGAAATTAATAGGAATGTCACATACAGAAAAATTTTCACATATTTGATGGCGAAAATGTATTTTTTAAAATATTTTTAAATAAATTTCGCAACAAGACTGACAAAACAAATGAGAGCTCGACATGTGTCAACAGGTTATTTAAATTTGTGATTTTAGTGGCAAAATTCTTAAAGAAATTGCCAGCCAATTTGCGAAACTTGCAGAGATCCAATTGCCAGAATATTTGTAAATTATATGGTGAAATTTGAACACTATATATATATATATATATATATATATATATATATATATATATCTTGACCCTCCTCTCATTTTCACCGAAGAAGAGCAAATTAGAAGAAAATCAGGTTTGTTTAATTTAATAATTTTATTATTTAATTTTTAATATATGAATTTAGTTATTTTTAATTAAATAAATTGTTAAATTAATTAATGAGTATTGTTTATTTGATTTATGTTAATTATTGTAAAGTTTAAATATTTAATAAATTTTATTTGTATAAATGTAAGATGAGTGGGATTGATATTATTATATATTGAAATGGTAGAATCTATGAAGGAAATGAATGAGTAAGTTTTGAAGGAAGTAAGAAAGTAATTCAGATAAAACAAGGAATAAGTTATAAAACATTGAAAAGAAAAATTCATCTGAAACTTAATCTTAACCATAATCAAGTTATTTCTAGATTAATTTCTCATTTTTTTATTGATGAAAATATTAGACAGTATACAGCTTTGGATATATGTGATGATGAAGATATTGATTACATGATAAGTATATTTCAACAACAATCTAGTAGAAATATTATTGAGTTATATTACTGTTAGTGGAAGTTCATCAATGTCCTTACAAACGATGAATTTAAATTTATCGCTTTCACAACAAAATGATAGAACCCTTGTGAGTCGTGATTATAATGAAGGTAAAATTATTTTCATTGTAATATCTTTTAAGTGATATATGTAATTGATTGAATTAAAACTGATAAATTTGTTGCAATAAAAAAGTTAGGCATGATGCTGATGAAGATAATGAACATTCAGATTATGAGAGTTACACTGATAGAGATGATGAAGCAGAAATTTCGTTAGGCAGTTCTTTTTCTATTGATGTTGAAGGCGAGTTTCATTCCAACTTAGATATACAAGTAATTGAAAATGTAGGAGGTAATGTGAAATAATTATAAAAATTTTATTTTTTGTGGCTATTTATTTATATATTAATGCTAAATATAATGCAGGAGATACTGTAATTCCCTTTTGGAATGTTACTCCAAAGTATAAATATATTAATTGGGAATATCTTGATCAAGAAATAAATGAAGAACATCTTCAATAAGTCAATTCATGAATTGAAGGAGATCCTTTATTTGTTGGCTTATTATTTGACAGTAAATAAGATGTGAAAAATGCATTAAAACATTAGACAATAAAGATTCATCAAAGTTATTTTGTGGCTGAGTCTAAACCAATATGTTTGTACGTTAAATGCTTGAACCATACCTTTGGTTTTCAATAAGTCAATTCATGGATTGAAGGAGATCATTTATTTGTTGGCTTATTATTTGACAGTAAAGAAGATGTGAAATATGCATTAAAACATTAGACAATAAAGATTCATCAAAGTTATTTTGTGGCTGAGTCTAAACCAATATGTTTGTACGTTAAATGCTTGAACCATACCTATGGTTGTCCATGGAGAGTAAGGCTTTCATTGTTGAAGAATTCAAACAAGTGGAAAATTACTAAGTGAGGTGGTTTACATACATGTGTCAATATGAGAATTTCGCAAAATCATCAAAAGTTAGATTCCAATTTAATTTGTTCATACATTCTTGGTAAGACA